CATAAACCCACTTCCATTTTAAAAAAAAATAAAGTTTTTTTTAAAAATCCACCACGCCTGACCCCCCTCCCCCATGAACACAATTTTGAAAAATTTTTTTTTTAAAAAAAAGAAAGGAATTTAGGGTTTTACTAATGGGCAGAAATTTGAAACACGGTTAAAAGGAATTCCTTTTGAAACGGGGAACACACGGAAGTTCCTGAACTCCCTCTCCTTGGGTTTTCAACACGCTCATTCCAAAATCTTGTTGTTTTAACCCTGTCCTTTTAAGGAAAAACTAACGGGTTGGGTGTTTTTTGGGGGCTCCCCCTTTTTTGAAACATTTTTTAGAGGAAAAATTTCCGGGAGGGCCAGGGGGGTGAATTATCATTTCGAGGCGCCTCACTTCCAATCTGCTTAATTTAAATCCCCTGCTTTTCCCTTTTAGGTAAAAACCCATTTTGGACAAAGGCGGCCGTGACTCCTGGCTTACCAAAGCTTGCCTCAAAGGTAGAAGGGGTTTGTTCCCCGAGTGAGCAGGCGGGAAGGGAAGATCACTGAAGGACTGTAGCCCGGGGGAATTTAAAGATGTTTTCTTAAAAAACCTTTATTGCTCGCTCCGATTGCACCCCGGTCCGCATGGTTTACAACTGAGGTTTGATTGCAGTGGTGAAAAAGGGCTTCTATAGATAGAGACCAAGGAGAGAAACAGAGGAACAAATGCCCAATGAATTGGATTAAGGTGGGGGATATTGTCCCATGCCTCCGTAGAAGGATAGAATATAGGACATTTCGGGAGGGAAGGGCATTCTTTATCTGAGCCATAAGAGAGAAAAAAGACTTGGAGTGGGAAGAGAGCCGAGAGAAGAGAGAAAGAGGAAGAGAGAGAACGGAGGGAGAGCCAGACGGAGAGAGAGAGAGGAGAGGCGGAGGAGAGGGGGAGCGGAGAGGACGAGCGAGAGAGAGAGGAAGGAGGAGGGAGAGAGAGACGAGCGGAGAGAGAGCAGGCGAGAGAGACGAGAGCGGCAGAGCGGAGAGCAAAGGAGCGAGAGAGGGGAGAGGAGGAGAGAGAGGGGAGAGGGGGCGAGGGGAGAGGGGAGCGCGAGAGGAAGAGGAGAGGCGAGCAGAGAGAGAGCGAGCGAGAGGGGAGAGAGAGCGGAGAGAGAGAGAGCGCGAGAAGAGCGAGGGGAGCAAAGAGAGGAGAGGGGAGGGGAGAGAGCGGAGAGAGCGAGAAGGGAGGAGAGAGAGGGGAGGAGAGCAGAGCGGCGAGAGAGAGAGAGACGATCGAGATATCGCTATCTATCGCGCATCTAGCGACAGAGAGAGCATCGATAGGCGACGCGAGAGCGAGAGAGAGATCGCCTGTGCATGCTATCTCTCGCTATCTCTCTATATATCTCTATCGTCTACGCTCGTCTCTCTTTCTCTCTCTCTCTGAGCTAGTGGATGTTGCCAGTATGTTTAGGGCATGGCTGTCATGTTAGCTCCGTGTGTTCACCAGGCTATTACAATTGGAGCTAAAATGTCACCTTCAGTTTCTATGTGTAGATTGTTTTACCCTTTCTGAAGGTGACATTACGTGTCTACACGGTAGGTACCAGTATATACTATCCCCCACTGTATGTCCTACAGAAGGTGCATCAAAGCATTGGGCTTGTGGTTGGGTTGTCCTTATGAGATTTCCCAGAGACAGTATATAACATAAATAATTTAACATATATCATTTCCACATGGCACGGTTCTCTCTCCTGAGGATCCTGAATCTTGCCTTTTCAGCCTGGCAGTTGATGTAATCTCAGATCCGTTTATTTCCAGCCAGTATTACATTTTCCGGCTAAGGTGTTTTAGTTTCAGTAAGAGGATAGCCATTTTATAACACAACAACACTGCCCTACCAAGCAAAAGAGCAGAGACTGCTCATAGAGTGAAACTGAGAAAAATAACTAAAACGTTTTTTTTATTGTCCAGCCAAATGAATTGTAGGCAGATCATTGGAGATGTGGTTATCTGTTGTCTTACTATGAGATGACCTTTGACCCTAGACGACAATTACTGCCTTCTTGCTTGGGACACCCACTGGAATACGTTTCCATGACGATGCGTTTTTTTACACAAACTTGTGTTAATATATGGCTGTCGGTGTTATATAGTCTAATACTTGTATCAGCGAAGAACAATAAATAATACCAAGGTAAACAGTAGACACTGCAGCCCAAAGCTCAGTGAAACCAAGGTAAAAGGCAGTAACCGACGTGAGTGATGCCAGTTACTGCCTTTTTCCTTGGTTTCACTGTAGCTTTTTGCAGTTACTGCAAACATGACCCCTCCATTTTCTCCATAACACAACACAATGGAGGCAGGACATTTGTCCACATGATAAAGCATGTATTTAATGTATAAAGAATGTCAACTCATTTTTGACCAAATGTGCAGTTACTGCTCTGTTGCTTGGTAGGGCAGAATAGATTTCTTCCTCTGAGTGACATTGCACTACAGGTACAATGCAAGGTTGGAGACAGTTATGTAGGGGTCTTCAACCTTTTCTTGCCCAGGGACCAGGACCAAGTCAAACCAGCGACCCAGGGACCTCCCCACATGATTGGAATAGGACAAGGCTGTTGTATTATTAGCGTGGTCGTTGCTAGTACTTCTATAAGGTGTTAGGAGTGGCCATTCATTTGTTTACACCCTCACCCCCCTGTCTCTTCAGCTTCTGCTGTGCTCGTCTCATTAGATGGCATAGCTCTAAACAAGGCTAGCATAGCTCGCGGCTAGCATTAGCCACACACTACGGTTGGCAACATACTGAAGGAATGAGAAGAGGCAACTGAAAATATTACTGCCATATATCTTCTTTTCACAATTTTGTCTCTGGTCTGCGCCGCTTGCTTCGTCGGATGCTAGCTACGCACGCACACACACAGGCATGTAAGTGTACACACACACCCTAAATACAGACACCGCTCTCACAATCTCATACAGTGTCCAGCCTCTCCCAGACCAACTGTGATTGATACTTTGTCTTCCGTCATCCCATTCCTATTTCCCTCTTCTCGTCTCTCTCTCATTTCATTTTACCTGCCTCCATCTAAAGTTCAGACTGGGCCCAATATGAACAGTCTGTCCCGGGATGCATTCCAAATAGCACCCTATTCCCTACATACTGCACTCCTTTTGACCAGAGCCCTGTGGACCCAGGTGAAAAGTAGTGCACTATATAGGGAACAGGGTGCCATTTGGGATGCCACCCCTGGGCTCTCTCAGTGGCTGCCATGGCCATTTGCAGTGCTAGGGGGTCTAGGGAGAGGGAGAGGGGGAGGAGAGAGGGAAGGAAGGAGGGAGAGAAGATGAGAGTTTTGGTGAGAGAATTGCCTAGCGGTGCCTGAGCAGAAGTGAGAATGTGCTGCTCCTATATTTAGACTTTTTAAGACACGAGTGAGTTAAATGAGGAAGACAGAACACCCTGTACCCTCTAAACTGGCCGGGGGGGGGGGTTGTGTTCGCGCGCATGCGTGCCCATGTATACAGACACACATACACTCACACACATACATACACACACACATAGGTCACATGCTAGAGGGGCTCAGTGCTGTTCCAGTCTGACTGCTCTCATCCACCTCTTCACCATGCTTTATTTGAGTTAGATTGGATCTAAGGTTGCCCTAAATGTGATGGCCCTTAAAATAGGCCATGCCACTGCTTGTGATGGCTTCGCATGCATTCCTTTCTTAGGGATGAGGTTGAGCTACCGATCGTCTGTCAGCGTCTATGTGGTTTCCATTCAGACACGGAGTGGCTCATACTGCTTCATAACCAGTGGTTAGTGATGGACTCACCCCTTGTCTGTGTCTCTTAATACAGATGTACGGACGCACGCATACACACACACACACACACACACACACACACACACACACACACACACACACACACACACACACACACACACAAACACTATAAATAGTCTGATGGTGACCGTTTGACCTTTTCTGTTGTGCCGTGCTTATAACTGTCTGGTTATGATTAAAATCACAGTAAAAATATGTCTGTTCAATTGTATGTTCTTGTGGTTGTAAATCGAATAGGTTTTATTGAATTCCATTTCCACCCAAACGTTTGGCTGTCTGTGTAACATTTCTTGTGACGTTTTCTGTAAAAATAGAGAGAACTTCAGAAATTCCTCTTTTTTAAACTTTTTTTTTTCTTGCTTTTCCGCAGACAGGGAAAAAAAAATTATTTGACACATAACTTGAACCTTCCGTGACGCTTTACACATTCTTACAGTGAAGTCTCCATGGAATGAAATGGTCAGATCCCACGAACACTTCAAACATTTCACAGCAGACTCATTAAGATGTAAAAAACATGAGATGATCTCCTCCTCAAACTTTAAAACCCCTACACTAATCATAAAACACAGAACTGCTTCATTTCACCACCACATCTTATTTTGTTTAATTAAATAGAGAGATCTTCTGTTAGAGCAGAGATTTGATCTTTGATGTTAAAGAAGCGCAGCTTTTACCCACCCACGCCCCTCGCCTCCCCTCTCCCTGCTCCACACCCTCGACAGAAACCACGCCAATTCATTACAAGTCTCAGAAAGTCAATTATGGTAATAGTTCCCTTTGCCAGGGGACGCTTGGCAGAGCAACACGGAGGCTTTTTTTCTACACTTTTTTCTTTCACATCCATATTTTATATAGATCGCATTTAGATGTGCAAATTGATCGGAGGGGAGAGAGCGAGGAAGGGGGAGGAAAGCTTGTTCCCTCCCTAGCTCCAAG